TTGAGAGAAAAGATGATTTAGAATTGCCACTGTCATGGATGAGATAGAGAATCAAATAGGGAAGAGTTGAAATCAATTTACATTATCTACTCCTCTACTCCGCCTCAGATAGATTCAGAGATGATCCAACCCTTGACTGATGATCATCACAAGTATTTTACTTCCATATTCATGAACTATAAAATTCCTTTATCTGATCATAATCTTTTATCACTCCATATTTCCCTATGCCTTATGATTCCTAATCTTTTTCTTCATAATAATAATAGCTAACATTTACATAACACTCACTATGTGTTATGTTCTAAGTGCTTTACAATTATTATCTTATTTGATTCTCACAACAACCTTGGGAGGTAGGTACTATCATTATCTCCATTTTATCGATGAGGAAAGAAAGGCAGATAGAGGTTAAGTGACTTGCCCAGGGTCACACAGCTAATACGTGTTTGAGGTTGAATTTGAACTCAAGTCTTCCTGACTCCAGGCCAGGAGCTCTATTCACTGTGCCACCTACCTGACCACCATCACCATCACTGTAGCTTTTATTTCCTCCATCTCAGTTCTTTTCCAGTCCATCATGTCTACCCTGGCTATACTCTCCTCTGTTCCCTAACTTGACTCTTTATGGACCAATTCAACAGTATTTTCTACTCTCAGATGCCTTATCTGTTTTATTGCTGATTATACTTAGCTAAAACCACTCCTGGATTACTCCTATTATTACCCATCTCTTTTGTTCCTCTTTATGTGCCATTGAACTGAGATGGAGGAAAAAACAAAACTATACTGATCAATCCACTACGTATTTGTTATCCAATCTCAGCTGCGCCTTTACTGTAGCTAGGAAATTATTCTACTCCTCCCTGTTTGATTCAATATCCTACTTTCCTCGATCTTGAAGATCTCAACCCATTCTTTTTTTTAAATACATTTTTATTTCATTAAATATTTCCCAATTACATTCAAAAACGTAACATTCATTTTAAAAAATTTTTGAGTTCCAACTTCTCTCCATCCCTCCTACCCCTCCCTGATAACCTTGACAAGCAATATATCCATTAATTATGTAAAGTCATGCAAAACATATTTCCATATTAACCACGTTGAAAACACACATAACAAACAAGAAAAATAAAGTGAAAAAAGTATTTCTTTTTTTTTAACGTATCTAATAATTTATTTATTTATTGTTAGTTCTCAACATTTACTTTTATAAAATTTTGAGCTCTAACTTTCCCCCCTTCAGGGCTCAGTCTCTTCGCCTGGCACAGTGACTGCGCAGCGTTGAGAGGAGCCCGAGCTCCAGCCATGGCTGCGATTCGGAAGAAACTGGTGATTGTGGGGAATGGTGCTTGTGGGAAAACCTGCCTCCTCATTGTCTTCAGCAAGGCCCAGTTCCCAAAGGTCTATGTCCCCACCGTCTTTGAAAACTACATCGCTGATATTGAAGTAGACGGCAAGCAGGTGGAGCTGGCACTATGAGACACAGCCGGGCAGGAAGACTATGACCGACTTCGGCCGCTCTCTTACCCCGACACTGATGTCATCCTCATGTGCTTCTCCATTGATAGCCCAGACGGCTTTGAGAACATCCCTGAGAAATGGACACCAGAAGTAATGCACTTCGGTCCCAATGTACCTATCATCCTCATGGGAAATAAAAAGGGCCTGAGGCGGGATGAGCATACCGGGAGAGAGCTGGCCAAGATGAAGCAGGAACCTGTGAGGTCAGAGAAGGGCTGGGACGTGGCCAATCGGACCAGCGCCTTTGGCTACCTTGAGTGTTCTGCCAAGACCAAGGAGGGCGTCGGAGAAGTGTTTGAGATGGCCACCCGGGCTGGCCTGCAGGTCCGAAAAAACAAGCGGCGGCGTGGCTGCCCTCTTCTCTGAGCTCCCCCCATCCACCAAGGTCTTCACACCATTGGACTCCATACCGCTAGTTTTTGGTCCCTTCCTGCCCAAGGCTGCATATGTTCTAATGCTCTGCTGCTCTTGAGAGTAGAGAAGATCATTTAGGAGGACAGGGACCATCGGGTGTCAGAACTTAGCGCTTGCCTCCCATCTGAAATAGGACTGTGCTTTCCATGTTGGAGAAGCAGGGGTAGGGGGTGAGGGGAAGTGGTCTTTACTGTTTATCCTGCCCTAAGGTTCACCCACCAGCATTTTTTTATGTAACTAGTTCTGGAGTCTAGTTCTTTTTTAGTGTGCCTCCCAGTGAGTGAAGCTTCCTTCCCCTCCCCCCGCCCCAATTCAGACTTGGCTGAGGATTATTTCTCATTGTTCTTCCAGGTGGAAGACACTCAATAAAAGTCTATGAGGGCTCTCAAAAAAAAAAAATTCCCCTTTCAAAGACAACATGCAATCTGATATAGGCTATACATGTACAATCATATTTACCATATTTCCATATTAGTCATGTTGTGAAAGAAGGATCAGAACAAAAAGGGAAAACCACAAGAAAAAAACCAAAACAACAAAAAAGAGAAAATAGTATGCTTTGATCTGCATTCAGACTCCATATCTCTTTCTCTGGATGTGGATAGCATTTTCTATTATAAGTCTTTTGGAACTATCTTAGATCATTGCATTGTTGAGAAGAGCTAAGTCTAACAAAGTCAGTGCAATGACTCACAATGTTGCTGTTACCGTGTACAATGTTCTCCTGGATCAACTTACTTCACTCAGAGTCAGTTCATGCAAGTCTTTCCAGGTTTTTCTGAAATCTGTCTCCTCAGCATTTCTTTTGGAACAATAGTATCCCATTACATTCATATACCACAATTTGTTCAGCCATTCCCTAATTGATGGGCATCCCCTAACATTCGAATTCTTTGCCACCATAGAAAGAGCTGCTATAAATATTTCTGTACATATGGGTCCTTTTCCCTTGAAAAGAGTGTATTTCAATCTGCACTCAGAGTTAATCATTTTTCCCTCTGGAGGTGGATGGCATTTTTTATTAAGGATCTTTTGGAATTATCTTGATCAGAGTTGCCAAGTCTTTCACAGTTGATCATCATTACAATACTGTTGTTACTGTGTACAGTGTTCTGGTTTTGCTCACTCCACTTTCCATCAGTTCATATAAGACTTTCCAGGTTTTTCTGGAAGCAACCTGCTCATCATTTCTTACAGGACAATAGTATTCCGTCACATTCATATACCACAATTTGTTCAGCCATTCCTCAATTGATGGGCATCCCCTCAATTTCCAATTCTTTGCCACCACAAAAAGAATTGCTATATTTTTGTACACATAGGTTCTTTTGTCTTTTCATTGATCTCTTTGGGATACAGACCTAGTAGTGGTATTTCTGGATCAAAGGATATGCAGTTTTATAGCCCTCTGGGTGTATCAATCCATTCTTAGCTGAAATACAAAAAGTGAGACCATTCACCAAAAACTCCCTTTTATCTCATGATCTCTCAGCTGCCTTTCCCTACTATACCCCTTTACTCACTATTGCCTTCTCATGTTTGATGGAGAGATGACTCTTTCATTGTCCCCTGAATTTCCAGTGCCTTGGCCTTAGATTACCTTCCATCTGCTCTGTATATATCCATAGGTACTTAGTTATTTGCATGTTGTCTCTCTCACTAGGAGTGGGAATTTCTTGATGATAGGGTTCATTCATTCGTTTTTCCTTTTTATTCCCAGCATTTGGTACCATGCTTGGCAAACAGTAAGGGCTTAATAAATGTTTTGATTGACTGGCAGACTGGAGTATACCTGGCTTCAGGAAGTACACAGTTCAGATTGGGTAAAAATTTGTGACACACAATTGTGACAAGGAAGCTTTGGCTATAAGAGGTGAAGTACAGAACCAAGACAAGTATTTGTTTGATGTTAGCAATATTTGAAAATTCTCCCCATGTTCATCTGATGCTTTGTGTCCTTGTTGGAACATATATGATTCAATATCATAAAATGTTTATGTGACATGGAGAGAATTTCCTTGAATTAAAAAATGTTTACTTGTAAAATGTATTAAAATGTCCCTTTCATTTCAGCTGTCCCCCATATTGCACCTGGATGGGCTGATTTTCTACAGTTGCTCCACTTTGCCTAGGAAAAGTGGCTTGCTCTTTTTCACACAGCTATATAATGCCAGAGCTGGGACTTAGAATTCAGTTCACCTGATTCCTAGTCAGATGTGCTTCCTACCACAGTAGACCAAAAAATGTTTGCTGAATGAACAAGCCTTTGTTGTTGTTAATAAGTTGTTTCAGTTATGTCTGACTCTTCATGACCCCAGTTGGAGTTTTCTTGGAAAAAATACTGGAGTGGTTTGCTATTTACTTCTCCATCTCATTTTACTGATAAGGAAAGTGAGGCAAACAGGGTTAAGTGACTTGCCCAGGGTCACACAAACTCGATTTGAACTCCAATCTTCTTGCCTCCACCCCCACTCCCATCCACTGTGCCACCTAGTCGCCCTGAACAAGCCTACATAGAATAAAAAATACCATATGGCAAAATCATGTATTAGATTAGTTTTTTGTGTCACTGTATATTATCCATACTTGTTCATACTATAAGATGAAATGGGAGGGTGGAAGGCTTAATGATTCCTAAGCATTTATCAGTACTCCACAATATGTAATAATATTTTCCTTTTTTTATGGTGAATTTAACAATCAACAAACACTTAGATATTCAAAGAACAAAAAAGAAGTTTTTTAAAAAGAAATAATCAACTTCCATGAGATACAATTTTTTAAAAAAAATATGTAAATGAGAGGGCAGCTAGGTGATGCAGTGGATGGAGCACTGACCCTGGATTCAGGAGGACCTGAGTTCAAACCCAGCCTCAGACACATAACACTTACTAGCTGTGTGACCCTGGGCAAGTCACTTAACCCCATTGCCTAGCAAAAAACAAAAACAAAACAAAAAATATGTAAATGAGATTAAACAAATATATATGAGATAATAATTGTAAAGCACAATGTTTGGCGCATAATAAGCATTTTATAAACGTTGGTTATTATTTTATTACAATTATTATATTAACACATATACAACATGTCCCAAAAGGTTTAGTAAAACCTTTACTAAGACTTATGGGACACCCTGGATACATAAACAATACTTTTTGATCATCTATGAACAACTCCCATGCAACATTCTTCATGACCACCGCCTCCTCCAGATAAAAGTGACCTTTCCCTCCTCGAATTTCGCATAGCACCTTGCCTGGATCTCCCCATTGCACTTAACTCATTCACTGGTTATCGGTTATTCGTATAAAACTCTCTTCCTTCTTTCCCACTCCCCACTGCAAACTCCAGGAGAGTAGGGCCTTGGTGTGTCCAAGACTAGTATGATACCTTTCATATAGTAGGTACTTAAATGTTTCCTGAACTCAGGTCCAAATGTATATCTAAACATTTAAATTAAATATGTTGTAAACTTTTCCGTGCCTTCACCATCTTCAGTGTATCTGCAGTGAGCCTAGTACAGAGCTAGGTAGGTAAGTGGGTAGACCATACATGTGTTTTTTAGTAATAGCACTGATGACCGCTACGTGGAAACCCTATAGCCTAGCATTAAGCCAAAGCACAAAGGAAACGCAAAATGGGGATTTGAATTCACATCTAAATGGCCAGTTTTAGAACCCTGGTATTTTTTCCCAGGCAACAGCCAGCCCACAAAGAAACCAGGAAATAGGGCTCAGGACACAATGTAATTAAGCTCCCAAGGTGCAAGTTAGTCAGACCCAGGCCCGCTGCAGCCCCCCTCCCCGGAGCTGTCCTGACTCTGCCCACCCCCAGGCCAACTGCAGTTCGCTTCTCGCTGCTCTTTTCCCAGCAAAGAGGAAAAAAAAACCCAAACCAAAACACCATTCTCCGGGCTCCGCCTGGGTTTTGTCCCTGCACCTTTCCCAGGCAACCGAGGCCGCCTTCGCCCCATAACAAGAGGAAGCTGCCAGGGAGGCAGGGCGCTCTCCCACTCATGTCTCGTCTGGCCGGACCAGACCGTCTCCTGTGGCCGGGGGGCGGCGCAGCCGCGCGGAGCTGGAGCTGGGCTCCATCACCGTCCCCGCCGCCGGGCCGGGCTCCCCGTAGAGGGCGCGGGAGACGGCTCCGCCCCACCGCCCTTCCCCTCTCCCGGCTCCCTGGATCCGAGCCGGGAGGAAATGATGTGTTGCTGCCTGGTTAATCACAGCTCCAGACACTCATTGGCGGAGCTCTCCACTGCCACTTCCTCCTCCTCCTCCTTCTCCTCCTCCCTCTGCTGCTGCTCCTGCTCCTGCTCTTTGCAACCGCCTCCTCCACCTCCTCCTGCTCCAGCTCGCGGGGGGAAGTTTTCTTCTTTTTGTAGCTATCTCCTTCGCCTCCTCTCGCGGACTGACTTCTTCCCCTTAGCTCCCGTCTTTTTTGCTCTCCTTCTTCTTCTTCCCATCCCGCCTGTGCCTCTGCACCTCTGGAAGTTTATTCCTGCAGCTAGCTCTTCTTCCTTCTCTTCCTCCTCCCCCTCCCCGCCCATTGCTCTTCTCCCCTCCTCCTCAAACAGCCCCCAACCCACCCTCCACCTTCTAGAGGCTGCTGCAAGCTTGCTTCTTGGCAAGAGATGTCGGGCTAAGGGCTGGGAAAGCCCCTGGCTCCGAGAGCATTGGCCCTGCGCAAAGCTCCATTGCACCAGCCACCGCTGCTCCATGGGCGGCTAGCCCCTAGTCCTTTACCCAGGGAGAGTTCCGGGGCTCGCCGGCTGCACCGCCCCGCCCCGCCCCGCACCACCCCCGGGGGCTGCCTGACTGTCCGCCCGCACAGCCAGGCTGGGCTGCGGCACTCCGCCTTACCTACACCTTACTCCAGGATCCAGAGGTGAGGAGGGAATGACCAGCAGGGGCTGGGAGGTGATGGATCTGGGCTGGGGGGGGGTGGTGGCGGTGTGAGGGAAAAGCGAGGCACAGTGTGGCAATAAGGGTGGGTGTATGCTTCGCCCCCTTCATTCTCTCTTCTCTTCCCAAAGCCTGATACGCTCACAGTGCAGAGCTGGGAAATAGAGCTTGTGTTGCTTGGGTGGGAGCTGAACTGCTGGTGGTGGGTTATAGAGAAAGGCAGAGAGAAAGAGACCCAGGGTGGAATGGTTGTTTTGCTTTCCCCTGCTTGTTGAGGGGCCTCAGCGTGTGACTGCGACTTGTAGACTGAGCCCGGACGTGTATGCAAAGCGCACACCTTTCTGGCTCTGTTCTCCCTGTAGTAAAAGCGAGCGGTGAATCTGCCCCCACCCCTGAAATATCAGTCTCTTCCAGGAGGAATTTTCTGCTGGAGAGACAGAGCCAATAAACTCTGCTCAACTCCCTCCCTGCCTCCAGTTCCTCCTATCTGCAGTTTTAAAAGCTTCAAAGCCAGGAATGTGGGATTCATCTTCCGATCCCCAGAAGGCAAATGTGGTTACAGATGTTGCATGTTACTTTGCCAAGTTTAAAACCCTTCCTTCAACATTGTAACCATAACAGTAAGGAGAAAACCTTGGAGAAAACCTTGGGCTCACTTAAGAAACATATCTTTGGCTTGGGACTGATAGATTCAGGAACTTCCGTCGACTTCTAGACTAATTTAACTCTCGTCTGGTGGAGCCAAATATTTCTTCAGTGTGCAAATCAACTCTCTCTCACAGCCTTTTTTTTGGAGGGTGAGGGGTGGGTGAAACCTATTGCTTTAGAGAAGGGTGGCACTTACGAATGGATACCCATTATAATATTTAACAGAAAACAGTTATTGTTGAATGTAGTAATTAGTTTATTTCTTTGAAGCACTATAAAGGGACAAAATAATACATTTTCATTGGCCTCCTGAATGTCATTGAAATATTACCCCTGGCTTTTATAAAACCAGTCATTAATTGAAACACAGCAAAGTAGTTCTAAGAACAAACCTAGGAAGTTTTGCCTCTACTGTACTCTCTCCTCTTCCCTTTCAGTATGCTTAAATAGGAAGGGGTCGAGGTTGGGGTGATTTGAAATGGAAAACCTTAAATGGAAATAATGTGTTGTGCTGTGGCGCAGACCAGTCCAGGTGGAGTGCCCATAATGGAGAGGCCCAGCTGAAATGAAAAGAATGAGAGACAGTTCAGGGCAGTGGAAAGGACATTGAATTTAGAATCATAGACTTGTGTTCAAGTCCTGTCCATCACTTGTAAGGTCTTGAGTTATGTAACCTTTCTGGGCCTCAGTTTCCTCATTTGTAAAATTAGGAAGTTGGACTACAATCTATAATCCTGTGTCTGGAGAACCCTAGAAGCCTGCTAGATTCTTTTCTTTTTTGTTATGATTAAGGTCGTTTTACTTTACACCTGAGAATCAAAAACTCATTTTATGCCAAAATGTTGGAATTAATAATTGCCTTTACATGTCCGTTGGTTGTTTTGGGAATATTTAAAATCTGTGGATACCCAGTACTGATCGCAAGGCAAAGGGCTTTTGGTTCTTAGATTTGGGTCACACATGGTCTTTTTCTGTACCACCAAATATAGTTAGAGGAAGTGTTTGTTGATAGTGGGAAGACTGAGAATTGTGATCTTTGGCAATTATTTTAAAACATTTACCAGTTGAAATGGGCAGTTTATGTAATGTGGAGGCCTAGTTAGCTTTCTAATTTAAAACATCTAGGGCATGAATATCCCATATTTAGGTAAATTATTTAGATACCCCTTCAAGTGGGGATTTGTTCATTCAACAAACACTAAGCAATGTGTTGGATTCTGTGCTAGACACTAGAGATACCAAATTAATTAATAAGTGACTCAGTCCCTGCCCTCAAGGAGGGAAAAGACTTTGCATTATAGTACATATTTTTTAATGCACTTTTTGGGGTCTTTTTTTATCACCATTGCCCTGCCATGCATTAGGTGATTAATAAATGCTTGTTGATTGATTGCCACTATCTATAGTTGGCCTGTTAAATCACAGAGTGAACGTTCATTTTTACCCTAGTTCATATTGAAGCAATTCCTGTGACAATGGAGATAGTCCCAACCTTGTGGGATTAGATCAATTAGAAATGACTACGAAAAATGATAGAAGTATTCAAGGTCATCAAGCAAAGACAGAATGAGGACCTCCCTATAGTAGATATTTGGGCACTCAAACTCCCTCTGCCTAGTCTGCTGTTGAATCCTTGCACCCTAGATGTTGTCCTTGAACACACGTCTCTATGCCATACCTTACTTAATGACTTCATCAGCACTACTTTGGGTGTACTGGATTAGCTGAGCTGCTTATAAGTAGAAGACTTTCGATACAAATTACTTTGTAATATTGTAGGAGGACTCCAGCTCACCGTTTAAAGCAATTCATTATAAGGATGAAACAAAATTTGATCCTGGCTGTTTTACTTTTGCCCTACATTCCCTTCCCCCATAACAATATAGTTTCCAAAATAGTAACATGGGTATAGTAGAGTGCACTTCTCTAAAAATATGAATTGTAAGATTCAGAGGCACCCAATATAAATAGCCAGGATCTTATTGGCAACTCTTTGTAGTGTATAATGCATCAAAGTACTTTCAGATACTAATTTGAAAAGTAGTTTAACCCGATGCTAAACATCATTGGGAATGCAACACTAGTATTTTAAGTCATTTGGTAAAGCTTTGACAGAATCAGACCAACAAGGCCAAGAAATGAAGCCATCAGACATTTTAATTGGCATCAGAGTCTCAGGTTTTTTTTTCTTTTAAGCAAGTATTGGGCAGTGTCTTTATTCCTGGAAATTAATATTTTGAATTAGGTTTCCGGGTACAAAACGGCTTCTTTGAACTGAAGTGAAAACTTTGTATTTCTTTCTGTAGCTAAGGCCAGTTCCCAGAAGTCATAAATTGAAGATTTTCTGGAATAGTTTACTTCTTTCCTTGAGATTGGGCCAGGTTCTGCTCTTACCGGGCAGCTAGGTGATGAAATGAATAGAGTACTGAGTCTGTAGTCAGGAAGACTTATCTTCCTGGGTTCAAATCTGGTCTCAGACACTAGCTGTGTGACCCTGGGCAAGTCACTTAACCCTGTTTGCCTCAGTTTCCTTATCTGTTAAATGAGCTAGAGAAGGAAATGGCAAACTACTCCAGTATTTTTGCCAAGAAAACCCCAACTGGGGTCATGAAGAGTTGGACACAACTGACTTGAACTGCTTAGGTATTTGGTGTATGTCTGTACCTTCTAAGAATCAAAGCAGGCATGGCCTGGTGGACCAGGAGTTAAAATTTTTGAGCCAATTTCATGTCATTTAAATATGATGGCAAATCTTGTCCTTCAGAAGAAAGGCATTTGAGATTGTACTTTCCCCACAGTATCAAGCAATTAAAGAGATCCAGTAATTTCCTTTCTCTATAAAAGTCCAAACACTCCATCAACCCCCAACCTATTTCACAGTTGAATAATATTCTCTAATAGTATGGGCAGCCCTGGAAATATGAGATTGTTTATATGTTCAAAAATTCTTAATTGATCCATGAGCATATTGAATTCCTGGAGCCATGACTTTTCATTTATTTAATTTTCTAGTTTCAGTATCTGACCATCTTCCATATTGTCTTTCCCTTAGGGTTGCTCAATTTTTTGTTTGCTTTCTAAATTTGGCCTTGATTTTTGTCAGTGTGAATGACACTTTATAAGTTAGGCGCCATAGTGGATTTTGTACTGAACCTTGGAGTCAGCAAGACTTGAGTTCAAATCCTCTCGCACACTAGTTCTGTGTATTCTGGGCAATGTCTTAATAACCCTAGAAAGATCAGGTGATTCAGGTGTTTTTTAAAGAAACTTTAAACTCATAAAGGTTTAGGTATTTCTTCTTCATGACATTTTCTCTAGTTTTATTTTCAATGTTCCTTAGCATTTACAAACAACAAAAAGAAACAAAACCTGTGGTCCTTTTCGCACAGCTAGATGGATCAAATTCTGCCTCAGACACACCTACTAGCAGGGTGATCCTGGGCAAGTCACTGAATCTCTGTTTGCTTCAGCTTCCTCAACTGTAAAATGGAGATAATAATTGGATCAACCATACCTGGTTGTTATTGGTGTCAAATGAGAACATATATGATGTGCTTTGAAAACCTTAAAGTACTATATGCATGCTAGTTATTATCAAAATTAATATTAACAACAACAAGAACAACAAAAATTAGCTTTGAGATTGGTATGTGTGGGGTAAATCATGCCAAATTTAGTAGCTTAATCTTCTGAAGCTCAAATTTTGGGGAGTGACTTGGGGTAAGAATTAGCCTTGGGAACTAGTATTCCTCAGACACTTACTAGCTGTGACCCTGGGCAAATCATTTAATCCTGTTTGCCTCAGTTTCCTCATCTGTAAAATGAGCTACAGAAGGAATGGCACACCACTCCAGTATCTTTGCCAAGAAAACCCCACATGGGATCATACAGAGTTGGGCATGACTAAAAAGACTCAACAAGAACTATTCCCCTGTTCAACCATTCCCCTGTTTCGCCTGTATGCTGCAATGGAGGAATCCCTTATTTTCAGGAAGACCTCTGGGGCTGACTTTTACAACTTTCATTGATCTTTCTTCCTTCTTTGAAGTTCTGTAGTATTTATTACCAAAACCATTCATTTTGGAATTTGACCATCTACTCTGTGGCACAGGTTTGGGGCTTTTTGGATGGGTCTCCATCCTGTCTCCCCCTTAGGGTCTGGGTAAATATGTGAGCGTATTTTTCTAGTCCCTGACTCAAGTAATAAGGTACTTGCACATACTAAGGGTTCAGTTAATATACTGTATCCTTGGCGTTTTGAAATTTTATACAGCTGTAAAGCTGTATAAACTTTACTTTAACATAGTATTCTAAACAGTTTGCAATTAAAACTCA